AAATAATGAGATACACAGAGGTAATATATAGATGCCTTGATAGAAATCACACCTAGGAACAACTGACAGGTTCACATCAATCTGTTAATGTGCAGCTTTCTTGTTGAAGCTAGGAACATGAACTGCAGATCTGGAAGAGGCACAGATTACCGTGGCAGCCACAGTGTTACCAGTTCTGGAGCTACCTGTTTGAAGTGGAATTCTGGAATCCTTCTCAGCAAGCTATATACTGCTTGGAGAAAAGATGCTTACCAGCTGGGCCTTGGTAGTCACAATTTCTGCAGGTATGTAGTTGGTTATAGAATTAAAAAAGCCCCACCAAACTGCCTTGCAGTACTCTTGGGTCACAGTCTGACACGTTTAGGTCTCTGCAAATTCTCTGCACATCTGATAATAAAAGTAGCTCTTCTCTCTGCTATGCTGCAGGAATCCTGATAATGACAGCAAGCCCTGGTGCCATGTCCTGAAAGGAAATCAGCTCACATGGGAGTACTGCAATGTGCCTATTTGCAATTTGCCTATTTGTAAGGATACCAGCACTCCTTGTTCTTCTCTTTCTTTGAAGCATTACTGTCCTGCATGTCATCTGTATTAAAGTAAGATCTAGAGAGAAAAAAAAAAAAAAAGCTGTATTACACTCAAGCATCTTCTAGTGAAAAAAGAGCTGGGGTTAAACAAACAAACAAGAAAAATTTTTGTGGAGCAGAAAGAGATTCTGTAGCTCCACTCTCACAGAAGTGCCAGAAGGGAAGATTGCAGAAACGGAGAACAGGAAAGGCAGGGTTTCCTTACTGTATTTTTCAAATCAGAATACAAGTTTCCTAGGAAACAGGGGTGAGTCAAATGCTAAACAGTTTGTGGCAGGCTGCCTCAGCATGGACTGGTGACTAGGAGGCTCTTAACCCTAACTCAAAGCAGGAGTGCCTGAACAAAAAGCCTGTTTTTGGGTTTGTTCCACAGCCACCTGTGGCTTACGGCAGCGCAGAGCACGCCAGTTCAGCACTAAAGGTGGTTCCTATGCAGAAATTGCAGCTCACCCATGGCAAGCTGCCATCTTTGTCAAGTATCGCCGAGTGCCTGGAGAGCACTTCCTCTGTGGAGGAGTTCTGATCAGCTCCTGCTGGGTTTTGTCAGCTGCTCACTGTTTTGAGGAAGGGTAAGTTGAGGATTCAGTGCTATCTGTGGGAAAAAAGTCTGGAAAGTAGAAGAATCCAGTCTAGCTTTACTGGGAGGGTAAAAGACTTGGAAAAAGCCCTCTTTATCCCAGTAAATCTGCACTAAAGATTATAGTTAATTGTGCTGAGCATTACAGAGAGGCATTTAATTGGGCAAACTAGCAGGATGGCATTAAGGTACTACAGGAGATTATCAGATACCTTGAGAACAAAGTTGTCAATACACAAAGCAGAACCATCTGAAACTTGAGAACAGCAAGGGGCTGGCAGAGGAGCTTTGCCCTGATGGCAGTAAGCACATAGAACAAAAATGAAGAAAAATAGGTCACTTTGAAGTCAAACTGCCTGGGTAACAAAGTAGTAATAGAGCTAAAATAAAAATAAATTAAAAAAAAATTAAAACAAGAAAACAGACTTTCCAATAGCACATCTTCAAGGGAAGGGTTGACTCTAGTAAACACAGGAATACAGACTCTCTTTGCTTCAGCTTTAGCACAGATCAGCTGAAGATTGTGCTGGGTAGGACTTCCCGAGCAACTTCTGAGGAAACTGAACAGAAGTTTCAAGTGAAGACCTACACTGTGCATCAGAGATTTGACTCAGAAAATTTAAACAATGATATTGGTAAGAACTTCTCTGACTTTGTGACTGGAAGGTCATGGTTGGCTCAAGTTTGTGATTAATGAAGTGGGGTTGTTTTTTCCTTGTTCAGCTCTGTTGCAGTTGAACTCAGATGCAGAAGAGTGTGCTGCTGAAACAGGCACTGTCCGTGCAGCCTGCCTCCCCACACCAGAGCTGCAGCTGCCTGACTGGACTGAGTGTGAGATCTCTGGTTATGGCAGAAATGAAGAATGTAAGTAGAAGATATATCTCTATATATCCAGAGCTTGAGTCCTCTGCCCTTAAAGAATTCAAGCCTTTAGCATCACTGAATGTGTAATGTATCATATTGGCTTCTATGAGCACTACAAAATGTATATAGGAGTTACTAAAAATCAAGTTTTGCTGTAAATTATTCATCTCAGTTTTGTCAGTTGTAGGGGTTGTTCTGTCAGTAGTAGTCTTCCTTCATACTCTCCACAGTACAATGTTAAAAAGCTAGGATCCTGTTTCATACAGTTAAGGCATTTTCATAGGCATTTCCTGTGAGTTCACTTTGATTGATAGAAATATGCAAAGATGACTTATCCACCCAAGAAACCTGGCAGTCTTTAATTTGGAGTTTGCATAAAGCTCTCTAGCTTGCTGAAGAAACAGTATTGTTTCTCAACTAGATTTAAGCTGTTCTGATTATCAAAGTGGAACACCCAAGATATAAAAAAAACCCTTTCACAAGGAAATTTTAGTTTAGCCACAGAGCTACTTCTGTTGACTCTCCCCTAAACTATGGACACAGAATTGCAACTTTTAAAAAACATATATATGCACATATACAGACATATATACATATTTATATTGTCATTTTTCTTCCAGTTTCTCCGTTCTATTCAGAGCACCTGAAGGAAGGCCATGTCAGACTGTTCCCAGCCAGTCGGTGCACAGCACAGTATCTAGACAACAGGACAGTTACAGACAATATGTTATGTGCAGGAGACACAAGGCACCTTGATGATGCCTGCAAGGTAAACCCAATTCTGTTTTCTTTTCTTTACTCTGTACTTTGAGCTAATTAAACGAAAAGCTTCAGAAAATAGTTTAAAGTTATGCATTTGCCTACATGGCAGCTCTAGTAGACTTTTGATGAACAGAACTCGTGGCTCCTCTTTAATTTCTCTTCCCCCACCCCTCAGGGAGGGGAAGGCAGAGAACACTTAATCAAACCAAAGCAACACAGACTGAAAATCCCAAATACAGGAAATACCACAAAACTGAACAGGAAAACCCACCCCAGCATTTCCTAGTATTTTCTGTTATGTGAGCATGCAAAACACTCAGCAGGAGGTTCTGTAGAAGGAAGGGGGTGGCCCTCTACTGAAAAGTTGAGAAAAGAGGAATAAAGGCTGAAAGGTGGTAGAGAGCAATGACATGAGGAAAAATGAAGGTGTGCATTCAATCCACATCCTTTCTGTTTAAACAGCTATTTAATAATTTTGCTTTACTGTTACACACAGGAGTATAAAACCCCTTGGATCTTTTTAGCTTGAATAAGGGCCTTAATCTCTTTTTTCCTTTCAATACTTTATCTGTATTTCATAAATGAGCTCCATACAAAGTTAGACACTTTAGTGTTACATTTTTCTGTGTCTATCCCCATAAGAGGAGCATTGAGGGAGTCTGGAACGTAAAAGTGACTTAGGTAAAAGTGCTAAGAGCTCTTGATTGGTGAACATACTGCATAGGGTATTTCTGTAAACATAGCCAGTGGGGGTGGCAAAAGCAATGCAAAACCAAAGAAAGATTGTTACTAATCTGGTGCTTCTCTGCAGGGTGACTCTGGAGGGCCTCTGGTGTGCATGAAGGACGATCGCATGTTTCTGATCGGGATCATCAGCTGGGGAATCAGCTGCGGCCGCAAAGACATTCCTGGTGTTTACACAAACGTGGTTCGTTATCTTGACTGGATTCAGGACACCATGAAGCTCTGAGAAGGAAAAATGAACCCTTTCCAATCTTGCAACCATGCCCTCAAAGCTTCCTTCTGGGTGTTTTAAGTATGCTGACAGGGCTTTCTGTTTGTCCAGATGTTTATGACTTCGAGTACAACAGGAAGACAAACTGCAATGTGTGGGAAGGGCATGTTCTCATAATACTCTCCCTATTACAGGTTATTAAAAGCTAATCATCCTTTTCTCCAACATCACCAAACTTTAACCCTGCATCAAATCACATAAGTACAATAAAAAATTAACTCTGACCCTGAGTGAATAAACCAAGAGAGATCATGCATCTCTTTAGCAGCTATATTGTTTTAGGAATGGGTGTGAAGGGGACATTTAATTTCCTGAAAACTTCATCTCCCTCCTTACTTGGCTGTACAATTGGAAGACATTAAGCTCTGTCCTTACACCATTTGACTTTGCCAATTAAGCTGGTTTCAGTAGAAGCTGGTTCTCAATAGAAAGAAAAGCTGTAGGCATGGGCTGCTTATTTCCAGATTAATATACTACTTACTTCTTCTGTTTGGAACTGATTAATTAACCAAGTTTGAGCTTAAATTCTCTGAGCAAATTCAGGATGGCTTAATTATTAGGACATGTTATTCTTTCACTTGGTTTTGCTCCTGGTAATATAATAGGTAAAAATTTTAACACAGACTTGATCTGCCACAGAATCAATGCATATTTTTTGACTATTAAATTTCTATGGTTATCATTTGATATGAAACAAAAGTTCTCTTCTGTGCAGCAGGGCAAAACAAAGGACAAGTGTATTGGTAGCTGTTTTAAGTGCCTGCTAGATTTACATCCACAAGGTCCTTTAAAAATCAAGGGTACAAAGCCAAAGGACAGAATCAATACTTTAGGAGCAGGAAGGTGATGAGGTATTTAATTGTCTTCATAATCCAAGCACTGCCCTTAGCATGCTACCCAACCCAGTACACAAAAATGGTTCAGCTGCATTCCTAAAGACATTTTCATCTGAGGTTCTAGGAAATGCTCACCACTCCTTTTGGGAAACACTAAAAAAAATTACCAAGAAAGCAATTAGTTTCAGTTTTTCAGACAGCAACTTAGTCCCAGGTTTACAATGCCAACTGCATAAAGACCTTTATCTCCCTAAGGCACCCACTATACACAATCAAATTGGCATAATTTACATTCCTCCTCAAACACCAGCTTTATTTCTTAAAAAGCCTTCACAAACCACTCTGAAATGACACAGATGACATGTAAAAATTAATTTTATTGATGCCCTTGTTGAAGGTTTTGTTTGCACTGAACATGCTCAGCAGTAATGTCACCTCAGCAGAATGCCACCTGCTATGGAATTCTTCAGCTGCACAGGAACTAGTAATCCCACAAGCAAGATGCCACTCATGAGGTGTCCACCACATGCAAGGTGGAATGAATGCTCTCCCTCGTTTAGGGTCACCCTGTTCTGTTCACAGACATGAACTGTACATGCTGGACTCCACAGCCACACGTGTGTGGTCACATGTACAGCAGCTTAGGTGCAAGTTCTGCTACCAAGAGAAAAAACACTGGCATGTAGTGGCCAAAGAGCCTGTCACAGACAATAGGAACAGTGTAGGTGCCTCTCATTTCCTATTTCTGCTGTACAGAGGGATTACCACAGGCTGGAATGGACAGATGTAACAACAGCTCCTGAGGAACAGATGATCCCAGTGAAAAATCTGGCATAGGTTTGAATCCATCTGCACAGCACCTGACTGGTACAGAAACTGAAATGAGGTAGGACAGGAGGAACACTACAAAGGTACCAGGTCACAATTATCTCAAAGGAAGACACCAGTGAGCAGGAAAACAGCAGTATCACCATCATTTGCAATAGGCAAGGAGAGGCAAAAAGAGGTCCCAACAAGTTACTAGGACAGTGGTTATCTTCATGTAGCCACAGCTTCAAATTCCATCTGTCTCCACAGAAGTTTCCCTGTCTGTCTCTTCTGATTCCCCAAATAAGTTAGAATTCCTACCTTCAAACACTGATGAAATAAGAGAAGCAGAATTACATGGAGATACCAGTTAAAAGATCTCAATGTATTTCAAGTCTGGATGCAGAGACTCAAGATCCTTGATGACCAGGATGCCTTATGAAATATCTAGAGAAAGAATTCACTTCTTTCCCTTGTGGCACCATTCCCAATCTCAGGCTTCTCAACTTCCCATCCTGGGTAGAACAATCTACCCTTCCACTTCTTCCAGTCCTTTTTGAGGCAGAACAGCTAGATGTTCTCCCTGCTGGCAAGAACTACACAGCTCTACACCCTAACCCCCAGTGACACAGGAATGCAGATGCTGGATCATCACATTGAAGTTTGTGAAATTCAACTCTGTATCGTGTACAATGGGATAAAAGCCAAACAAAATATAATGGAAGAGGAGCTACAAAAGGCCATAAATCCCTAGAATTTCCTCTAAGACAGCAAAATGAAGGTGATACAAGCTTACATAGCTGACTCACTAATCCTAAGGGACCTGAGCAACTCTCCCATCTACTATTGTTCCAAATACTTCAGACTCAGGTAGGGATGAGGTGGTTTCAGGTCAACCTTACTTTTCCCTGCTTTCCAGCACTCTGAGCACTGGCTTTCCTGCTTATGCTACTAGAGACAAGGGAGCAACCCTAAATAGATGGATGAGATAAGAGGCTGCATCCAACAGCCAGGGACAGGGGAAACAGGAAAAGTGCTCTTCCTTGCTATCAGGATCCTCTAGGTTCGGACTTGGAACTTGCCAGCCTTAGTCATGTATTTTATCCCCTTGAATGGTTTGTACTTCTCCCCATACATGTCCAGGCGATTCACCTTCAGTCCTAGAGGCAAACAAACACAGGGTAAGACTGACTGCTGCCACAAAGCTGACAGGCCTTTGGGATAAAGGGACAGAAGATCATACTGGTGGTGCAGAAAGCACAGGGAAAGTTTTAGCAAGAAGTAGGCAGAATGGAATAAAGCTGACAACTGCTCATTGTTAGAATCATTCTTTACAAACACATCCTTAATTTCTTTAGAGGTCTGAAAGCACAAAATGCAAGGAAATGCAAGTAAGCTGTTTCACAGACCACTAGAAAGAACAAATCCATATATCTGTAGTCAAAGCAGATAACTTTTTTACTTGAAGAACATGTTTCAGGCAGAATGTACTTCAGAAGGTTTGCAAAGTTACTTCAGCTACATGCAGAATGTGCACTGGCACAGCAGAGAACGTTCCACTTCTTTACCTCAGAGTCACTTACCAGATATAGCCAGCTGCTGAATTTTAAACTGCAGGTTAATGGTGGGGTTTTCATCTGGTTTTGATGTCCCAGCTTGCAGGCTCACACTCCCCTTCAGACTTGGCAGTTTCTGGGGGTTTATTTTCCCAACATCCCATGACAGTAACTTTAAGGAACAGAAAACGCAGCAGTGAAACACAAATGCTGCACCTTCTAAAGAAGAGTCCCCTTCCAATGACAGCTTTTAATGTTTCTCTATGAAAAATATCCTTTTCTTAGTATCTTGCCTTTCCTATTGGCCAGACACAGGATGAAGGAGCAGATACCTCACTCTGAACCTTTGTCCTCCCTCTTTTTCCATGAGGCTCCCCAAAAGCCTATTATGAATGCTATTCCCACTACTTGTGCTAAAGGCCACATGGGTAAGCCCATCAGATTAATGTTTGCAAGCAGAAAAAAAAGTGACCTCCTCAGGTTTAACAACAAAACCAGAACACCCCAAACCAAACCAAAGCCATTAACCAACCCTCAGCATGACAATAAGATATGCAGACATTTGCAAGCCATCCACCAGACTGATGTCCCATTATACAAGACCAGTGCTTGGATTTTCTTCACACACCAAGTAGCCAGGACTACAATCCACTCAGACACCAAGGTATTTGTTCTGGGGATTAAGAAAACCCTAGTATGCAATTGTTCAGAAAATGTTCTCACCCCAACAAACAGCCTTCAGCAAAGCAGTGTTCATGCAAGCATGAACAGGTTTATCTATTTTCTGATAGATAAGAAAGAATTAAAAAAAAAAAATCTGATTTCTCTCTTTCCTCTTACCTTTGTAACTGGATCAAAGGCATGTGTTCCCTGGGAGGGTGTGAGGGTCATATTTAAGACACTTTTTGGCATCTGGCTAGTGACCATCACTCCCTCTACAGTCTTCCCCATAGTCTGCTTTGGCCCCACTGTGATCTCAAACCGTCCCAGGGAGCTGCTGTCACGAAAACTGATGTTGTGCTTAACGTAGACAGGAATTGCCACAAGACTGGAATAAAGACACAAACAGAAAGTCCTTGTCAATCTCTTGTCTTCATATTTGTTTAAAAGAGGAGGAAATCCTACACTCATTTGTTTGAGCTAGGAGCAAAGTCAGGATTCCATTCTCAAGTCTTAATTACACTTTTTGTAATCAAGCTTGCTATATCCTATTTTATCAGAAAAGGGAACTACATCCAATAAAACAGGAGGCTTGACCAAAAGATGAGAAATGTTTTTGCATGTCACAGCCAGGTTGGCAAGGAGTTCCTGGCAGTGCAGTACCACTTGAACTACATGTTTGTACTTTTGGTTGCATTTGCCACTCCTTTTCACCTACTAGAAATAAATCTGACAATGGTCTAGCAAAATTCTTTGGCAACTGTAACTCCAAATAGTACTTGGCAAGCTGCTTCTAGAAAAGAGTGTAAACCTAGACAAGAACTTGTGGTTCCATTAAGAGAGATGTCAAAAACCTAACAGGAGCACCAAACTATCTTGTTTTATTCTGAAAAGTTTTTTATAAACATGAAATCAACAGCTTGATTACTCCATACTGTCTAATTCTTTCACTATCTAGTTTGTTTATCTGCTAGCAGTCTTTGAAAAATGCTGGGTGGCCAGATAGAAATTACAGAATCACTGCTCTAAACAAGGAGAAAATGTGTAATTAAAAAAAAAAAAAAGAAAAATGTAAGTCACCATGCACCTCTACTTCACTTGGCTCAACATGCCACCTCATCTTTAAAAGTTCCTTCTTTTATCCTCTTCCTAGCCAGAAGGATCCAAATTTCATAATTGACAGCACCAGACTCATCACCTACTTCTGAGCACTGACATGGTAGGAGAGCAAACGGAAATTCCCATCAGGAGGAATGAAGGAGAGAATTCTCTCTGACTCCCAGCGCTTGAAACGCACGCAGGGGTGAAAGCTGACATCGTCCAATAAGCGAGGGTTCTGAAACAGAAAGAAAGTCACAAGGTTTGTGAAGACAGCACAACTTAAAATGACTTCCTCTTCTTAGCACTCTTCTATTCATGGTCTATCATTTGACACACTCTCGACCACTTGAATGTCCCCATTCAGACATGTCTGATGCTGTTATATCCAGATGAAAGCAGTACTCAATAACCTCTATCCTTTTTTAGGATATTTTTAATCCTATTTTAGAAAACTTAGGCACATAATTACACTGGTGTGTACTCATAGTAGAGGTGGCCGTTCAGGGTATCTGCTTAAAGCACCACTGTACCTCAAAAACTCAGTCACAGGACACATCACATGTGCTTTTAAACAGATAATCTGAAAAAGCCTTTTTAGGCTCCAAATGGCTGAAGTTCCTGATGAGTTCCCATTGTAATTTCTTTCTCTTTTCATCTGGCATACCCAGATTCTGATATCCTGGGGTTCATCATCACAGGACCCCAATTTCAGCAGCAGGGCTGGGAAACCCCTTTCAAAATACTTAAGTAAAGGTACATCCTTGAGCTTTACCATGAAGGAAAGGGTAAGGTCTGGCATCCCAGTCAGCTTGACACAAGCATCAATGACTCCTTGGATTTCAGCAGTAATGGTGGAACCTGTAACAACAGGATTAACACAGGTGGTTTTGTGAACCTGGTCAAAAAAATCCCAAAGTGGAAAAGCTATGAGTGAAGAGGAAGGAAACCTCTTTTCTTAATGAGATGCCATGGTTCATTATGTTGCCTGCTCAGCATTTGTATCATTCCCAATGACTCCCCTAGAAGATTCATTGAGTTAAGAACCATGGACACCAACAATGTCCATTTTAATGGACAATAACTCCCAATTCTAACAAGACAAAGAAGCACAAATACTAAAGAGAAAATGCTATGCACGATTTTTACTCATCTTCTATTTTCCCAATATAGAATTGCTTATGAGACCTGAAGAACAAAGTGAAAATCTTGGCGTCTCTGTAAAATTTTTGACTGAATAGCACATACAAGTTAGCAATGTTGCAGAGTAAAAATAGGAACAGAGCTTCCCACAGTTGGATGAAGGTGCACCTATTTCAAACCCTAACTCTCTCTCCAGTCATTATCAGGACAAGTTATCCTATTCTTGACCAGGAGCAACGTACCTGATTTGTCAATGATTGCATCTATCTCCTCAATCACATCAAAATAGGCCTCATTGTTGGTGTATTTTACACCAGTACGTCTCCAAGGCACCACTGAGAGCTGTCCAGTGGGAAGCTGGTCACCCACATTAGTGCTTCCTGGAAAAAGAAAGGGAATCAACAACCACAGAAGTTAGGCAATGCTGCAGAGCATGTCCCTGGCCTTACACAGCTTAATTGTAATTAATCCCCAAGAACCTCTGTTTCTTTGTAGGAGAGCAATTACTCTTCCAAACTCCCAGCACTCCAAACATGCACATCTCTCTTACACCCAGCTCTAAAACATACCACAGGAATGCATGGGACAGTGTCTACACAGGGGGATGTGTAAACTCACATCAAACTAACTCATCCTGGAAGTCATGTCATGGCTGTAACTGAAAATATAATCGGACTTTTTTAGGTTAAAATACCCCCAAATCAGACCAAAACCAAAGGGCAGCTGGTGCTGAAATTGGAAGGAACCTCAAAGCAAAGCACTAACAAATGACTCCCTAAACACATCTGTGCTGCATAAATGGTATGGGACAACATAAATTTTCTTCACCCATGTCCTAAGTTACTTATGCAGGAATATTGCCACCTGGACTCCCCAGTTTATCTTCTTTTTGTTTCCTGTACCTGTGATGGTGTTGACGACTGTTCGCAGAATAGTAGGAGGCTTTATCAGTTCCTTAAGAATATTGGACTCTGTTGCCAATGGAAATCCATTGTCCAGCATCTCCTCCAGCACCTCGTAAACCACCACAACATTGTCCTTGATTATTACCTCTGAACAGACACCAAAATAATCCTGTGCAAAATAAAGAGTTATTCAGTGATCTCTGAAAGAGAATCTTAGTGGTCATTCAGTCCAGTGCTCTCCCACACAGGAATAAATCAAGGCTCTTCTTAGAGGAGGCAAAAAAACATTGAAACTCACAGTATTACTACAAGCACACCAGACACACACAACTCTGAGCACACCTCAGCCACTGCTCCAGTAAGGTGGCAAATTCCCACATCACCTTTCCCAACTAATTCAGCAGTTTTTAAAACTGAACATTTAATTTATTTACTGTCTTATTCTATGTGAACTCCAAGAATCTTACAGGAGAGATCAGGTGCATGTGAACAAACACAAACCCGAGCTTCTAGTTATTTACAGCAATTAAAGAAATCAGGAATTTTGCATAAAGAATGAGTATATGTATGCTGTGGCAGTAGAGAAATCCTAGTTCTGCGTTACAAACACTCATTTCAGCCATACCAGATTTTAATATACATCTAAGCCAGTGACAACACACTCATGCTTCATACCCTCATAAAAACCAAGACCTAAGGGTCTGACACCATCCACTGCTGGCCTGAACAGCCAATCCACTCCCTAAAGTCAGAGAAACATAACTCAGAATACAGGCTCTGATTGACATCTTGGAAGCAAAAGCTCCCGTGACACTTGTTTGGCCAAGCACGCACATTTCCTGTATGCTGGCAAGATGCTGGTCACAAGACATTTCAGATCCAGACAACAAATCCTGTTGTTGGCAGGCAGCAGACAGACATCTTTGCCATTTTCCTGAACTGATCAGATGTGTCAGCCTTAGCACAGAGGGAATACAGCTGCTCTGGGGCAACTCCTGCAATTCACTGCTTTAGGAAGCTTCCAAGAAGCATCACTAGATGAAAACACATGGATGGATCACTAATTGATTAAAGTACGTGGCTATGGATTGCAAAAGCTCCTTGTGAGAACAAGGCCAGCTTGGTCTTAGTTCACAGTTCCCAGAGCAGACGAGGCTGCAAAACAGAAACAATGATTTATGAAAGGTTCACCCTGTGGGCACAGGCAGATCCCCAATCCATCGTAATTCCTAGGCAGTAAATCCCCGACTACGGCAAGCCCTGCCTACATCCTCACAAACGCAGGATGAAAATTACGCTATATGAAACAAAAAATAAAACCCTATGAGGTTCAAACGAGAGGGGTTCCTCGGCCTGAGGGTCCCAAGCCCCTCGGCCATACCTGGAACGTGTCCACGACGCGGTGCAGGAACTCGATGACGAAGAGCGGCGGCACCTCGCTCTGGATGACGGCCACGAAGAAGATCTTGTGACGGTAGACGCTGAGGAGGTAGTGGTGCGGCGTGGGGATCACCGGCGGCACGTTCTCCGCCTCCGAGGCCCGCTCCTGCGCCTCAAAGAAATAGTCACACACGGAGCGGCTAACCACGCTCTTCCAGTGCTTCTCCAGGAAGATGTCCCCCGAGGCGTTGATCAGGAACAGGCTGTGGATCATGGTTGCGGCCGTGCCGTGCCGTGCCGGAGCGAAATCCCCTCAGAGCGCTCCCGGCGCAGGCCCCGCCCCCGCCCGCCGCCGGCCCCGCCCCTCGCGCGCGCAGCGCGGCCGCCGCCAGCACCGCCCCCGCCGCTCGGGACGGGTCTGGGCAGCGCGCACCGGTGAGGCGGCGAGCTCACGCTCCGCAACAACCCCGGACGGGCATCGCTCCCGGTAGAGCGTCTCTATCCTGCGACCGATTCCGTGTCCCGCCCCGTTACGCGCCTGCCAAGGCAGGGAGCGACGCGGAGCCCCGAGGCCCGGAGCTGCGCTAGGCGGCGCCATGGCGAGCCGGGGATGTCCCTCACGGAGGGCGCTCCGCGCTCCCCTCGTTCGGCGCGGTGCGCTCGCTGCCCCGCCTGCTCCTCCTCAGCGTTTAGGGGTCCCTTTTCTACAGGGGAACTGGAATATAGTCCATGGAATGAGGAAATAACCCGGCTTTGGCAGGGAGGAACATTTAGGGAAACGTTTTTCGTTACATTATTTTGCTGGCTCGTTCACCACGGAGTAACGCCCCGCTGGCGTGGAAACAATTGTCATGCCAAATTTACCCAAATTCTCTAGCGAATTATTCCTTTGCATAACTACAACTAGTGTTTCACGTTCATACAGCAGATCCCTGGACTTCTGAGTTAAACATGCCATGACAAATAATTTTTCTACTACACTGCTGGGAATAAAAACGGGAAAGCAGTCATTTGTATCCCATGAAATAAGCTGCTTGAGCACAGAGCTTTTTTTATACGGGAGCCTCCTCTATGTGGGAGGAAGGTCTCGCTGTCGCACCAGCACGGAGAGGCTGAGATCTGAGATTTCAGACCCAGCTGTGATTCAGGACTGTGGGCAAATATTTTAAGACGTGCTATCCGCCTTGCCTTGCCTTACCTCACGGCCCGGCCCGGTCCGGTCCGGTCCGGCTCGGTCACTTCTCTCCCTCACCGCCCCCTCAGCTCCGCTCCGAGCGTGGCCCCGCCCCCCGTGGCCCCGCCTCCTCCGCCCTCGGTGGCTCCGCCCTCGGTGGCCCCGCCCTCCCCGCCCTCTGTGGCGCTGCTGCGGCTCCGCCGCGCCCCCTGGCGGCCGCCTGCGCCCCACCGCGCTGTTCCGTGAGCGCGCCGGGCCCAAGATGGCCGCCGTGTCAGTTTCGGGCTTCGCTGCCGTCCGGCCTTCACCTCCCGGGACCCGGCGCTCGCGGCCCTCGGTAAGTAACGCTGGCGGAGCCGCGCCGGCGCGGGTGGTTGGTGCCGAGGAAGTCGGGGACAGGCGGCTGGCGAGCTCCGTGGCCTGGGGGAGGGGAAGGCCCAGTTGGGCGCTCCAGGCTCGCGGCCTGTTCCGGCCCCGCCGCCGCTCTGCGCCAGGCCCGGCCCCGGCGGCACGGCGCGGGCGAGGCGGGCGAACAGCGCGGGGGTCCGCGAGCTGAGCTCCGATCGGTGTCTGGCGCCAGAGAGCGCGGCTGAGGCGGGCGCGGGCCCGGCCGCAGCAGTGCGAGGAGCTGGCCGGGCCCGCACTGCCCGTGGCCGGGAGGACGGGGAGCTGCGCGGGGCCCGGCTGTCTGCCGCGGCCTGCGCCCCGCTTCTCCCGAATTCGCCGGTGCCGGTCTCTGTGCTGAGGCTCCTTGGGGCGCCTGGTGCGGGACCTGCCCGCGGCAGGGATGGGGACGAGCGGTAGCAGGTGCAGGGGTCGCTTGTCACCCGGAAAGCCGGCGACCCACCGGCGCTGGGACCGTCCCGGTGTCGCTCCGGCCTGGGCGGACGGTTGCATAACGCCCTGCGCACGGAGCTCGGCTGGGACACGGGACGGCATCCTTGGGGCCTCGGGATGCAGGGGCACCGCGGGAGCGCATCTCTGTTTTGCCAGGCGGGCAGGTGTCGAGGACCGGATTTCCCTTTACATCTGTTGTTCGCAGAATAAAAGAACTCTAGGCAAGCACTGCATCTTTTCTGGTTTAAGCAGTCCTTCAGAGTCTTTCCAGTACTGGCCGTGTGGAGCTCTGCTGTTGAGTTTATGTCTGTATGCAAATGTGTTCCGTGTGTTGATAAATTCTTCAGTACTTACTAGAAAGCGGAGCACGATAACTGTGTTGTGAACTTAGCTCTTGCCTGAAACTTCCCTTGTAGAAAATCATTATTTCTTGTGATAAACACTTTACAGATCCTTTACTCCTGAAGCAGAACTTCAGCACAACAGGCAGTTATCACACCCAGAAAAAGCTATTTTAAAGATAACTAACTAAAGGCTCTAAGTAGAGCCTCTTACCCTTTCACCAGCATTGTTAATTAGCAGTGTCACAAGCATTCCTTTTACACTGTGCATGGTCACCTGTTACTTTGTCCTCAGGTGTTTTCAGTGGGCCTCATCAATACTGAAAATCATGTTGTATTCTTTTTTCCTGGGGCCTCTAAAAGTACAGCATTAAATTGCAATCTCCAGCTGTGTTTCTTCACTTTTTTTCCTTTATGGAACAACTGTCATAGCTTTTCTTCACAGGTGGGAAACCCATGATTACACTCCTGAACGTGCTCTGAAAGTTTCTTGCTGTTTGCTCAAGTCTTAGTTATTCCTATTTTCTGTCAAAGTTTCAGGCAGTGTCTTCCATGTGTAAAAATTAAGAGAGCTGCTGCTCTTTTAAGATATTTGTTGTGGTTTTCTTCTTTCCCCCAAATATTAATTTATGTTGTGCTCAGCAGTGATACAAATCTTGGTATAGACTAATGGATCAAAATGGAAAGGACACTTTTCTCTAGGTTGCATGGGGTAATTTTAGTGCTAAAGAATGCTTTTATTAGTAGTGAGGATAAAATCTGAAGTATTACTTCAGTATTTTAGAAATGTAGTGGCTTAAAAATCTGCTATGTGTTTAACAAATTAATATTGTCTGCTACTTTTTTCTTCAAAACAGTTTTTTTAAATGTCTCTCTTGTTTTCTTCTAGGCCTAACATCAGAGCTCTTTTGGTTGTGAGACCAGAAGCTGAGGTGAGATAATGCTGAAATCTTTATATATTTGTGTAAAACCTTTCTGTGAAGCTGTTATGGGATTTATTGGAAAGAGTACAGGTGAGATAATGCTGAAATCTTTATATATTTGTGTAAAACCTTTCTTGAAGCTGTTATGGGGTTTATTGGAAAGAGTATAAAAGTTTCTAACTGTTTTGTTTTCTTCTTTTCAGTGTGAAAACAAATAATGTTTGAGAAAGAAGGATTAATTCAGACCAGAAAACGTGTATGCTATGGTTAGCTGGTTCCCATCATTCGAGGATCTGTTTTCTCATCATTTGAAACTCCTTCAGCATCAGGATAAAGGATAACGACTCTATGGATATACAGAATTCTTCACCATGGTAAAACTCGCCAACCCGCTGTACACAGAGTGGATTTTGGAGGCAATCAAAAAGGTAAAGAAGCAAAAACAGCGACCTTCAGAGGAGAGGATATGCAACGCGGTGTCATCTTCGCACGGTTTGGACCGCAAAACTGTTCTGGAACAGTTAGAGCTGAGTGTTAAAGATGGAACTATTCTAAAAGTCTCCAACAAGGGTCTCAACTCCTACAAGGATCCTGATAATCCTGGGAGAATAGCACTTCCGAAGCCGCGGAACCATGGCAAGTTGGATGGTAAACCAAACGTGGACTGGAATAAACTCATTAAACGGGCGATTGAGGGCTTGGCTGAGTCTAGTGGCTCATCCTTGAAGAACATCGAGCGCTTTCTGAAAGGTCAGAAAGATGTGTCTGCATTATTTGGAGGCAGTGCTGCCTCCATTTTTCACCAGCAATTACGACTAGCTGTCAAACGTGCTGTTGGCCATGGTAGGCTCCTTAAGGATGGACCTCTGTACCAACTCAACACTAAAGCAACCACTAATGCTGATGGGAAGGAGAGTTTTGAGTCTCTTTCCTGTCTCCCTCCAGTGTGTCTCCTTCCCCATGAAAAGGATAAGGTAAGACACAGTTTTTGTATGGTTGTTTTCTTGTGGTCGATGGAATGTGTCAATACAGAGTTGCAATTTGAGGCCAAAATCTTGAATCTGGTATGCTAGAAGTTATTAGTGTGTATTTAGGATCCCGTTGTATCCAATTTTCTAAACATGAGAGGAAATGTAATGGACTGTAATTTGTACTTTGGATCAGAAAATTGCAGATGAGCTACTGTGGGGAGTTTACAGTGCTTCTGTGCAGTGGAACTGAAAATATGGTAACAGGCTTACTGTAGGTGTGTCTGCAAAACATAGGAAGGAAACCTCCTTTCTTGAAGGTGAGATGGATTTGCAAAGCAAACTTGAGATGTTCTTTATGTTCACATTTTTATTTTACTGCCATTTCTTCTTTCTATTTGAATTCAGGTAACATAGTGAGGGGTTGATTAGTATTGCTACCTGATGCTTAGAGGCTTTCTTTATAATGGTAAAGAACTTTCTGTTCCAGAACCTCTTTGTTGTGAAATAGGAAGAAACCTGGTCTAGTGGAAGGTGTTCCTACCTGTGGCAAGGGTTGGAACTGGATGATTTTTAAGGTCCCTACCCACCCAAACCATTCTATGATCTACAGAGCATGGAGATCCTGGAAGGAGCACTCAGGGACTTTTGTACCTCTGCCCCTCCTCTCTTCCCCATTTTAAATACATGTTCTTTATAAAAAAACAAATAATTTTTCTGTTGCTTTCTCCTATTTTTCTGTGGTTTCCCCCTCCTTTCTACCATACTTCTGCATTCCTGAGGTCATTGATCCTCCCCTCTAACCTCAAGATGAAGTTCTTGGAGTGAAATTCCTACCCAGTCAGTATGTTTTTATTCTTTCTGTTACTGTGACTGCAGAGTAGAACAGAAGCTTGTCTTTGTTTATTAAAGATCAGTTTGCCAGTGATTCATGTATTTGTGCTACTTATCTTTAGAACATCTGTAATGTGAAAATTACTTTTTTTTTATCCTAAAAAGATACATTTTTCAGCAGAATGGGACATTTTTGGTTGTTCTAAATATCCTGTTCAGGGATGAGTTCTTTGGATGTGTACTACTCATGGTTTTTGAAGTCAGCTTCAGTCTCTGGTGAGAGATGCTTTAATGATCTCTTAGGATGAAGATTTAAAACTGCTGTATGAGCCTTCTTCTTTAAAGAAAGTAAAATCTGTGTACTACTCATGGTTTTTGAAGTCAGCTTCAGTCTCTGGTGAGAGATGCTTTAATGATCTCTTAGGATTTGAAGATTTAAAACTGCTGTATGAGCCTTTTTCTTTAAAGAAAATAAAATCTGCACAGCTGCTTTATCACCAGTAAAGTTTCTCTGAAGTTCTAATTTAATTGTGAGAGCTTTACTGTGGACACAGTACCTAACTTGTCAGTGTGTTGTGCTGTGGGCTGCCATAATGTAGGAAGTATTATGCTGAAAATTCCAGTGTTCTGTCTACAAATCTTTCCTATGTAAGTCTCCAACTTTATCCATAATGAAATCAGTACAGCTGTAAAAAATGTTATGAAAACTGGATATAAACAAAGCTGGCACATGAGGTGACTGGATTGAGAGTGTTGGTAGCAGTGGAGAATAGTGGCTGTGCTGTTATTAACACAGTATGTTTCACAGCCTACTCAGTGTTCTTGTCATGTGCCAAAACTCAGGAGCAGCTTGATATTCTTTGAGATAAATTGTTCCCTGCGCTTTTCTTAAAATGTTACAAATCAGAATGGTGAATGGTAGTATGAGCTACTATAAATACTGAATTTAGTCTGGGATTTGTTTTTTTACACCCCTGGAAAAAGATAAATTTTGTGAGGTATTCTTTCATTAAATTCTTCTGAGTTTTTGTGTCTCTGCTCTGTGTTTAACCCTAGGTGTCTGCTCTTCATGTGCCATCTCTGTGCTAGGTAACTCAGGCAGAGTTTCATA